AAGTCCTGCTGATAAAGTAAGGTTTATATTTAGGAGAATTCTTGATTAAAACTTTGTCCGTAAAAATTGTGGATAAAATATCTATATTACGAAAATTCTTAAAAAATTTATAGAAAATTCGTGGAATATTCTAGAATTTAAAAAGGTTTGGAAACAGAAAACCCTACTTAAGATTTTTCTTCAAATTTTCCCTCTCACTTTTTGCCAATTGTTTGTTCGAATCTATGATTTTCGCCATTTTTATAGTTGGTGGAAATGAACATTGACAAGTGGTGTGTGTGTGAGTGAGTAGTGAATGAAGTGAAGCGGAATGTAACATGTTGCTTTTTATCGCTATTTTGAGGTTGTTGTTCTGTTTCAAAATTGTAAACAGTTGAAATTAAACTTTAAGTCTAATGTAAATAAATAGTTTAGAGAACAAACACGATTTTCTCCTACACATCCTGCGCTTTCCTATAGCAGGCTTAATTAATGCCAAATTATTACCATTTTTATGGCAACAACAACAAATTTCTCTACTAACTCCACTCTTAATGAAGATTAGTTGAAAACTTATAACTTTCACAGTAGGGAAAAAGTCATGTAAACTTTTACAATAACTTTGTTAAAAAATGCTAATGATTTTTTAATTGTTAAGTGATGTTTAAAAAATTTTTTTCTTTTAAAAAATTTATACAATATTTGTCAAAATAGCAGAAAAACAAACACACATTAACATAAATAAATGTGACCTTTTTTATTTGCAAAATTAAACTTTTTTTCTGTTTAACATGGCAAAAACTTTATAGAATTAAAGGAATTGTAAGCGAGAGAGAGAAAAAACTGGCAAAAACTTTTTTCACAAGTAAAAGAGCTTATCTGATCAAAATAAGGAAAACTTTTTTTGTTTGAATAATAGAAAAAAAAAAAACTGGTTACAAATAAATTAAATTTAAACTGTAGGGTGAAGGTAAAAGTAGAATGATAAAGAGAAATTTATTGAAAACAAATTTTAAACAAATATTTCAATAAGCAAATATCTGTTTATGTTAAAAACATGATACTGGGAACCTTACAATTTCTTATTTTAAATATTAATTAAACTCTCGATAAATTCTATATTTAAAAAAAAATCGCGATAAATTTAATATGAAAAGAATATTCGTGAATATTCTCGAAATAGTATTTTAAGAAATTAAAGCTCGCGCTTTACTTTACTTACATGAAATTCTCGATAAATTATAAATATTGAAAAGATTCGTGATAAATTCTTTACGAATTCAATTTAAACTCTCAAAAAACCCGCGTAAAATTCAATGTTTAAAAGAAATTCGTAAACATTCGCTCAAATTCTTGACAATTCAAAGAACTTTCAACAAATTCTATTTAAATTCGCGATAAGTTCTATATTAAAAAAAATTCGCGATAAATTTTATAAGAAAAGAATATTCGTGAATATTCTCGAAATAGTATTTTGTGAAAGTAAAGTTCTCGCTAGAACTACCTACATGAAATTCTCGTTAAATTATAAATATTGAAAAGATTTGTTATAATTTCTTTATAAATAAATATTTAAAGAAAATAAAAAAACATTCGAGATAAATTCTCAAAATTTATAAAACTCTTTACAGATCCTTAACGTAAAGAATTGTTTCGCTGAAAGTCGTCAAGTTTTGTTCTTTTAAGGAATTACCTTTAAACTCTCGAAAAAAAACGGCTTTAAATTCAATGTTTAAAAGAAATTCGTGAATATTCTTATGAATATATTCGCTTCAATTCTTAATAATTCTAAGAATTTTTAACAAATTCCCTTTAAATTCACGATAAGTTGTACATTTAAAAAAATTAGAGTTTAATTCAATATTCAAAGAATATTTGTGAATATTCTCAAAATAGCATTCTGTGAAAGTAAAGCTCTCGCTAGAATTACTTGCATGAAATTTTCGGTAAATTCTAAATATTGAAATGATTCGTGATAAATTTTTTATTTAAAGAAAATTTTTATTAAATTCAATGATATATTCTCTGTTTAAAGAAACTTTAACTATATAAAAAAAAATTTGATTTATATTTGTATAAAACTATTCACAGACTCTTAATGAAATTTTTCGCTCAAATTCTTGATAATTCTAAGCACCCATTAAAGTCTCGATAAACTCTATATTTAAAAAAAATTCGCGATAAATCCAATATTTAAAGAAAATTTTGTGAATATTCTCGAAAAGACTTACATTACCATCACGTTCTTGCTTAAATTATTTATTTAGAATTCTCTATAAATGCCTAATTTTAAAAATATTAGTAATAAACTCTCTCTTTAAATTCTTAAAAAATTCGGGAATATTCTCAAAAATATTACTTAGTAAAAGCAAATTTTTTGCTTAAATTATTAATTCAGAATTCTATATAAATTCTCAAATTAAAAAAAATCTTGATAAATTCTCTATTTAGAGAAATCTTTGGATAAATTCAACATTTAAATGACATTCGTGAATATTCTCGAAAAATTATATTTAATCAAGCAAAGCTGTCGCTTAAATTGTTTATATGAAAATTTCAGTACATTACAAATATTAAAGATTCGTGATAGATTCTCTATTTTAAGAAAATTCTCAATAAATTCAATATTAAAAAAAATTCGTGAATATTCTTGAAAAATTACTTGTTCAAAGCAAAGATCTCGTTCAAAGATCTTTTTACTTTGAATAAGAGCTCACGACAGGAGCGTTAACGATCATTTTAATAACAAATTTTATTATTATTTCTTCTAAATATTAGTAATGATAAAGTATTTAATCTAATAAACTATAAGATTTTTATATTAAACATACGATATTTTGATATATGTATATATTTCTAAAAATATCTATTTTATAATAATTATTTCACTAATACATACATACATAAAATTACAATAAATATTTATTAACTAACTATAATTTATAAACTAATTTTTAATAATCTACGAATAAAAACAGCGAGTGACAATAAAAGTACTAATAAGATCAGATATTATAATAACGAGATATTGTTAAAGAGCTCATGATTTAGCGAAAACGCAAATAATCCATTTTAGGCCAATTGAACAGAACGAGATCAGAATAGAACTAGTACAGAACTAGAACAGATCTAGAACAGAACTAGAACAGAACTAGAACAGAACTAGAACAGAACTAGAAAAGAACTAGAACAGAACTAGAACAGAACTAGAACAGAACTAGAACAGAACTAGAACAGAACTAGAACAGAACTAGAACAGAACTAGAACAGAACTAGAACAGAACTAGAACAGAACTAGAACAGAACTAGAACAGAACTAGAACAGAACTAGAACAGAACTAGAACAGAACTAGAACAGAACTAGAACAAACTAGAACAACTAGAACAACTAGAACAGAACTAGAACAGTACTAGAACAGAACTAGAACAGAACTAGAACAGAACTAGAACAGAACTAGAACAGAACTAGAACAAGAACAGAACAGAACTAGAACAGAACTAGAACAGAACTAGAACAGAACTAGAACAGAACTAGAACAGAACTAGAACAGAACTAGAACAGAACTAGAACAGAACTAGAACAGAACTAGAACAGAACTAGAACAGAACTAGAACAGAACTAGAACAGAACTAGAACAGAACTAGAACAGAACTAGAACAGAACTAGAACAGAACTAGAACAGAACTAGAAAAGAACTAGAACAGAACTAGAACAGAACTAGAACAGAACTAGAACAGAACTAGAACAGAACTAGAACAGAACTAGAAAAGAACTAGAATGGAAATGGAATAGAACTAGAATGGACTTGCAAAAACATAATATTCCTTCCGCATTGTCACTCACTGTTGGTCTAAAAATTTCTAAATAAAAATGTCTAAAATATTTAAAAAAATACTTGTTTATTTTCTAAAAGAAGGTACGTGTTAGTAAGTGTTGTAAAGTGGTTTATTAAAGTATTAAGTGTGTGAAAAAAAGCTTAAAGAGAGAAAAAAGTTTTGAAAAATAACGAACAGAAAACAAATGATTTTTTTGTTTAAAATGTTGTTATATATTTTTTTTGAAATAAAAAAACAAGTGTAATTGTTGTTGTGTAAAAGTAATAGAAAATTTAAATGAAATAAAATGTTTTTATAAACACAAACACAATAAGAGCGGCAAGGATTTAACGTCACGCGAAACGGTTTTTGTTTGAATAGCGGCGAAAATATTTAAACCAATGTCATCGAAATTAAAAGACTGATTTTGATAAAGTTTTATATTTCAAGAAAGGAACTGTTAGAGAGTTTAAGTTTCAAATTAAGATCTCCTAGACCTACAAGAGGCTACAGGATACAGGAATCCTAAGTAGGAAATTTTGGTTTCAGATGAAAAGTTTAATAAATTTTTTAAGAAAATTAATTAGTTTTCGTCGTTAGTTTTTCTTCTGTCACTTTAAAGCAGTATAAGCTGACAAATTTACTTTTTACTTTGTAGCTTAGAAAACGCGCCGCTGCCTCTGTCGCTGCCGCTCTCATTGTGTTTATACGAAAAAAAAGGTTTTTTGTTTAAAAGTTAGTTAAATATAGTTGTGTGTGTTGTTTTTGTTTTTAAAGTGTTTTTAGTTTTACAATTATTTTAATGTACAATTTATACTGGGAAATAGTAGTATGTTTTTTAAAGTGTTTTCTGGTTCCATTAATATGTTTGTAGGGTTACAAAAGCGTGTGCCCCATATATTTTTTATATAATTTTTTTTAATTATTTTTTAATTTTTTGTTATTATGTTTGTTTTTTAGAAAAAAATTCAATTTATTAAAAAAAAGTTGATTTTTAAGTCATCAAATCATCAAAAATGCCAAAAACAAATTTTAAATGCATTCAAAAAACTTTGAACTTGAAATTTCAGTAAAAGAATAATAATAAAATAATAAATTTAAAATATTATAATTAATAGGAAAAACTGTTTGGGTTTTTGTATAAAATATAAAAATTAAAAATTTTAAAGTAACAAATTTGTCAAAAATATAACAAGCAAACATACCATGCCGGAAGGTAGAGAATGACTCATACGCCACATACGTTCGCCGCTAGAAAGAAGAAAAAAGTTTAATTTTAAATTGTGTTTAAAAAAAAATTTAATCATTTTAATTTATGTCTAAAAGAAAACACACCTCTCAGTTAAAGGTTAATAAACTCTCTATAAAAGCCTTAGTTTTTGCTCTCTGTTGCTTTGTTTGCCTTAATAAAATAATAATAAAAAAGCAAATAATAAAAAAGAGAGCGAAATAAAATGGCAAAAACAACAAGATGAAAAAAATAATAAAAAAACAAACATTTGTTTTATTATACATGGCTGGTGATTGTTTCATAAAAAACAAGAATCCTTCATTATTTACTCATACCTACATATACATACATACACAGTATTGTGCGAAACATAAGCAAGATAATTTTTATTGTACCAATTTATACTGGACTATAGACTAGACTATAGACTAGACAATCGACTAGACGATAGACTAGACTATAGACTAGACTATAGACTAGACATCGACTAGACTATAGACTAGACTATAGACTAGACTATAGACTAGACTATAGACTAGACTATAGACTAGACTATAGACTAGACTATAGACTAGACTATAGACTAGACTATAGACTAGACTATAGACTAGACTATAGACTAGACTATAGACTAGACTAGACTAGACTAGACTAGACTAGACTATAGACTAGACTATAGACTAGACTATAGACTAGACTATAGACTAGACTATAGACTAGACTATAGACTAGACTATAGACTAGACTATAGACTAGACTATAGACTAGACTATAGACTAGACTATAGACTAGACTATAGACTAGACTATAGACTAGACTATAGACTAGACTATAGACTAGACTATAGACTAGACTATAGACTAGACTATAGACTAGACTATAGACTAGACTATAGACTAGACTATAGACTAGACTATAGACTAGACTATAGACTAGACTATAGACTAGACTATAGACTAGACTATAGACTAGACTATAGACTAGACTATTGACTAGACTATAGACTAGGACTATAGACTAGACTAACTATAGACTAGACTAGACTAGACTAGACTAGACTAGACTAGACTATAGACTAGACTATAGACTAGACTAGAACTAGACTAGACTAGACTATAGACTAGACTATAGACTAGACTATAGACTAGACTATAGACTAGACTATAGACTAGAACTATAGACTAGACTATAGACTAGACCATAGACTAGACTATAGACTAGACTATAGACTAGACTATAGACTAGACTAGAGACATGACTAGACTATAGACTAGACTATGACTAGACTATAGACTAGACTATAGACTAGACTAACTAGACTATAGACTAGACTATAGACTAGACTATAGACTAGACTATAGACTAGACTAATAGACTAGACTATAGACTAGACTAGACTAGACTATAGACTAGACTATAGACTAGACTATAGACTAGACTATAGACTAGACTATAGACTAGACTATAGACTAGACTATAGACTAGACTATAGACTAGACATAGACTGACTAGAGACTAGACTATAGACTAGACTATAGACTAGACCATAGACTAGACTATAGACTAGACTATAGACTAGACTACAGACTAGACTATAGACTAGACTATAGACTAGACTATAGACTTGACTATAGACTAGACTATAGACTAGACTATAGACTAGACTATAGACTAGACTATAGACTAGACTATAGACTAGACTATGGACTAGACTGTAGACTAGACTATAGACTAGACTATAGACTAGACTATAGACTAGACTATAGACTAGACTATAGGCTAGACTATAGCCTAGACTATAGACTAGACTATAGACTAGACTATAGACTAGACTATAGACTAGACTATAGACTAGACTATAGACTAGACTATAGACTAGACTATAGACTAGACTATAGACTAGACTATAGACTAGACTATAGACTTGACTATAGACTAGACTATAGACTAGACTATAGACTAGACTATAGACTAGACTATAGACTAGACTAAACTATAGACTAGACTATAGACTAGACTATAGACTAGACTATAGACTAGACTATATACTAGACTATAGACTAGACTATAGAGTAGACTATAGACTAGACTATAGAGTAGACTATAGACTAGACTATAGAGTAGACTATGGACTAGATTATAGAGTAGACTATAGACTAGACTATAAACTAGACTACTGACTAGACTATAAACTATACTGGACTAGAGACTAGACTATAGACTAGATTATAGACTAGACTATAGACTAGACTATAGACTAGACTATAGACTAGACTATAGACTACACTATAGACTAGACTATAGACTAGACTATAGACTAGACTATAGACTAAACTATAGACTAGACTATAGACTGGACTACAGACTAGACTATAGACTAGACTATAGACTAGACTATAGACTAGACTATAGACTAGACTATAGACTAGACTATAGACTAGACTATAGACTAGACTATAGACTAGACTATGGACTAGACTATAGACTAGACTATAGAGTAGACTATAGACTAGACTATAGAGTAGACTATAGACTAGACTATAGAGTAGACTATAGACTAGACTATAGAGTAGACTATAGACTAGACTATAAACTAGACTATTGACTAGACTATAAACTAGACTACCGACTAGACTATAAACTATACTGGACTAGAGACTAGACTATAGACTAGACTATAGACTAGGCTATAGACTAGACTATAGACTAGACTATAGACTAGACTATAGACTAGACTATAGACTAGACTATAGACTAGACTATAGACTAGACTATAGACTAGACTATAGACTAGACTATAGACTAGACTATAGACTAGACTATAGACTAGACTATAGACTAGACTATAGACTAGACTATAGACTAGACTATAGACTAGACTATAGACTAGACTATAGACTAGACTATAGACTAGACTATAGACTAGACTATAGACTAGACTATAGACTAGACTATAGACTAGACTATAGACTAGACTATAGACTAGACTATAGACTAGACTATAGACTAGACTATAGACTAGACTATAGACTAGACTATAGACTAGACTATAGACTAGACTATAGACTAGACTATAGACTAGACTATAGACTAGACTATAGACTAGACTATAGACTAGACTATAGACTAGACTATAGACTAGACTATAGACTAGACTATAGACTAACTATAGACTAGACTATAGACTAGACTATGACTAGACTATAGACTAGACTATAGACTAGACTATAGACTAGACTATAGACTAGACTATAGACTAGACTATAGACTAGACTATAGACTAGACATAGACTAGACTATAGACTAGACTATAGACTAGACTATAGACTAGACTATAGACTAACTATAGAGTAGACTATAGAGTAGACTAAGAGTAGACTATAGACTAGACTATAGACTAGACTTAAACTACTGACTAGACTAGACTATAAGACTATACTGGACTGAGACTAGACTATAGACTAGACTATAGACTAGACTATAGAATAGACTATAGACTAGACTATAGACTAGACTATAGACTATACTATAGACTAGACTATAGACTAGACTATAGACTAGACTAGACTAGACTATGACCGAGACTATAGACTAGACTATAGACTAGACTAATAGACTAGAACTATAGACTAGACTATAGAACTAGACTATAGACTAGACTATAGACTAGACTATAGACTAGACTATAGACTAGACTATAGACTAGACTATAGATTAGACTATACTGGAATAGAGTAGACTATAGACTAGACTATAGAGTAGCTATAGAGTAGACTATTGACTAGACTATAAACTAGACTACCGACTAGACTATAAACTATACTGGACTAGAGACTAGACTATAGACTATACTACAAGACAAGACTATAGACCAGATTATATATTAGACTATACTCTAGACTATAGACTAGAGTAAAGACTAGACTGTAGACTAGACGGTAGACCTAGACTCTAGATTATTGATTAAACTATAGACTAGGCTATATACTAGACTAAAGTTGTTAAAATAAATTGCTTAAACTTTGTACAATACTGTTTCATATACTCATACAGTTAGCATTTCAATCAGTTGCAGCCACCATTACGTATACTCAATGTACGTTTATTCTCATATAAAGTGGAAAATAAAGGTGAAATTTTCCACATCACACTTTTTAACATACAAACTCTCTCACACACACATAATTACAGAGATAAAATAAACGAAAAAAAAACTTGAGTACATTTGGAATGAAATAACAGCTTAAGAGATAGAAAGAGAGAGTATTAATAGTCACATTTTCTTCTTTTTTTTTAAATCGAAATCACGTTAAGCTGGAGGTCCATATTACGCTACATTTGAGGATAATTTTAAACTTCAATATCATTAACGATTGAAGACAATTTAAAGCTAATGTTAAACTCAAAAAGGACCTTAAATTGAATTCAGCTTGAAGCAAATTTCAGAATCGAAAAAGAGCCAAGAAAGCTTAGGATTGAATACCAATAATAAGGAGGATATATAATGTTTTATCTCAGGGCGGATACTATCAGAGGTAGAATTTATAAACCGTGCCAAATGTATTGCCGTGGGTGAAAGCTAGGATGAAGTAGTCCTAAACCGAAAAGGGGATTTAAAGTTGTTTACCAGGTCGGACGCTATAGGGAATTTCCTAACAATATGGACCAAATTATTAGTAAATTGTATCAGCATCGTATGACATTAATTTGGTGGCGATTTTAAAGATCTCAACATTAGAATATATCTTTCAAATATTTTCTTTTGACACAAAAAAAAAAAAAAAAAATCAATCATTTGGAAAATTTTTCTTTTGATTTATGGAATTGCGCGATTCTCTTAAAAACGATTTTTAAAATGGACCAAATTATTAGGGATATTATTCAACTTATTCCTCTTATTCCATATTAACATATAAGCCAGTTACACTAACCAATTTTATAAAGAAATCTTGAGCAACTTTCGATTTTTCTCCATGAAGTCTCAACCAGTTTCCGCGTTAATTAAGATAGCGGTATCAGA